ATTTTCCATCATGAGACCTCTGGAGATGTCTTAGATCCTTGTATTGTGGGGAAGGGTTAAGTTTATCAATATTAGTCATCACACAACGTGGCTGTTATTGTGTACAATGTTCTCTTGGTTCTGCTCATTTCACTCAGCATCAGTCCATATGACTCTTTCCAGGTTTTTATGAAGTCTGCCTGCTCATCATTTCTCATAGCACAATAGTATTCTATTACATTCATATACCACAACTTGTTCAGCCATTCCCCAATTGATGAGCATCCCCTCAATTTCTAATTCTTTGCCACCACAAAAAGAGCTGCTATAAATATTTTTGTACATGCGAGTCCTTTTCCCATTTTTATGATCTCTTTGGGATACAGCCCTAGAAGTGCTATTGCTGGGTCAAAGGAAATGCACATTTTTATAGCCCTTTGGGCATAGTCCCAAATTGCTCTCCAAAATGATTGGATCATTTCACAATTCCACCAACAATGCATTAGTGTTCCAATTTTCTCACATCTTTTCCAACATCTATCATTTTCCTGTTTTGTCATGTTGGCCAATCTGATAGGTGTGATGTGGTATAAATATATTTCTAATTTCAGCTGAAGCATAATAGATTCTGCTCCAACCCCCTACCTTTACTCTGTGTATGTCTCTCTGCTTCAAGTGTGTTTCTTGTAAACAACAAATTATTGGATTGTGCTTTTTAAGACACTGCTATTCACTTCCATTTTGGGGGTTGAGTTCATCCCATTCACATTCACAGTTACGATTATTTTGTATTTCTTTCCATCCTATTTTGCCCTATTCTCCTCTCCCCTCCCTTCCTCCTCTCCCACTCTCTCCTTTTACCCTATTCTTCCTCAAAAGTCTGTTTTGCTTCCAAACACTGCCTCTCCCAATCTTCTATCACCCTTTTCTATTATCCCTTCTATCATCCCACTCTATTATCCCCCTCCCCTCCTACTTCTCTGTAGGGCAAGATAGATTTCTATACCTAACTAAATGTGTTTGTTATTCCCTCTTTGAGCTAATTCTAATGACAGTAAGGTTCAAGCATAACTCAACTCCATCCTCCATCTTCCCTTTCACTCTAAAAACTCTTCCTTTCACACCTCTTTTATGTGAGATAATTTACCCCATTCTACCTCTCCCTTCCCCCTTCTCCAAGTGCATCCCTCTTTCTCACCCTTTAATTTTTTTAAATCATCCTATCATAGTCAATTCAGTGCCCTCTGTCTATGTATACCTCTTCTAACTGCCCTAATGAGAAAATTCTTAGGAGTTACAAGTATCATCTTCCCTTGTAAGAATGTAAACAGTTTAATCTTATTAAATCCCTTATGATTTCTCTTTCCTATTAACCTTTAATGCTTCTCTTGAGTTTTGTATTGAAAAGTCAAATTTTCTATTCCACTCTGTTCATCAGGAATGCTTGAAAGTCAGCTATTCCACCTGCTCATCATTGCTTATAGCACAATGGTATTCCATTACATTCATATACCACAACTTGTTCAGCCATTCCCCAATTTATGGGCATCCTCTCAATTTCCAATTCTTGGCCACCACAAAAAGAGCTGCTATGAATATTTTTGTACATGTGGGTCCTTTCCCCATTTGTATGGTCTCTTTGGGATACAGTCCTAGAAGTGCTATTGCTGGGTCAAAGGGTACTGCACATTTCTATAGCTCTTTGGGCATAGTCCCAAACTGCTCTCCAAAATGGTTGGAGAGCATTTCAAAAACTTCAGAAAAACCTGGAAGACTTGTATGGACTGATGCTGAGTGAAGTGAGCAGAACCAGGAGAACATCATACACAATAACAGCCACATTGTGCAATGACTAACGTTGATAGAGTTAGCCCTTCTCAGAAATGCAAGGATCTAAGATACCTCAAAGGTCTCATGATGGAAAATGCTATCCATATCCACAGAAAGAACTGTGGAATTTGAATGCAAATTGAAGCATACTATTTGCTATATTTTTATTTCTGTTTATTTCTGTTTCGTCTTTCTTGTGGTTCCTCCTATTGGTTCTAATTCTTCCTTAGAACATGACTAATGTGAAAATAAGTTTAATAAGAATGTATATGTATAGCCTATACCAGATTGGGAGGGGGAGAAAAATTTAAAACTCAAAAGCTTGTGGAAGTGATTGTTGATAAACCAAAATAGATTAAAAAATTTAAAATTTAAAAAATTTAAAAAAGAAAGTCAACTCTTTCATTAAATATCTATTTTTCCCCTGAAGGATTATACTCAGTTTGGTTGGATAGGTTATTCCTGGCTGTAATCCTAGCTCCTTTGCCCTCCACAATATCACATTCCAAGCTTTCCAATCCTTTATGTGGAAGCTGCTAAATCTTGTGTTATCCTGACTGTAGCTCCACAATATTTAAATTGTTTCTTTCTGGCTGCTTGCAGTATTTTCTCCTTGATCCCCTGGGAGCTCTGGAATTTGGCTATAATATTCCTGGAGGTCTTCATTTTGGTATCTCTTTTAGGAGGTGATTGGTGGATTCTTTCAATTTCTATTTTACCCCCTGGTTCTAGAATATTAGGGTAGTTTTCTCTGATAATTTCTTGAAGTATGATGTCCAGGTCCAGGATCATGGCTTTCAGGCAATCCAGTAATTCTTAAATTATCTCTCCTTAATCTATTTTTCAGTTGTTTTTCCAATGAGATATTTCACATTTTTTTCCCTCATTCTTTTGATTTTCTTTTATTGTTTCTTGATGACTCACGGAGTCATTAGCTTCAATTTGCCCAATTCCAGTTTTTAAGGAGTTCTTTTCTTTAGTGAATTTTTGTACCTTTTTCCATTTGCCAAATTACGCTTAAGGAATTCTCTTCAGTGGATTCTTGTGCTTCTTTTACCATTTTGCCAATTCTGTACCTTAAAGTGTAATCTTCTTTAGTACTTTTTGTGCCTCCTTTACCAAGCTGTTGAATCTCTTTCCATAATTTTCTTTTTTACTGTCATTTCTTTTCCCAATTTTTTCTCTACCTCTATTTGATTTTTAAAATATTTTTTGAGTTCTTCCAGGACTTCTTTTTGGGCCTTTGACCAATCCACATTTTTCTTTGAAGCTTTGCACTTTGAAGCTTTGACTTTGTTGTCTTGAGTTTCCCTCTTGATTTTTCCCTGTCACCATAGTAACTTTCTATGACCAGATTCTTTTTTTTGTTCTTTGCTTATTTTCTCAGCCAATTTCTTGACTTATAACTTTATATTAAAGTTGGGCTCTACTCCTAGGGTTGAAGGGACACTGTCTCGAGTTTCAGGTTTTTCATGCTGCTGTTTTCAGAGCTAGCTCTGGGGGTCCTTAAGTTTTCAGTTCTTCCAAGGTGGTAAGATCTAAGAAGTGTGGGCACTGATCTCCTGGCCTGTACTCTGGTCTGAGTGACTATAGGCACTCCTCTCTGCCCTGAAACCCTGACCAGGGCTCCTGTACCCTTGTAGCTACAAAGTGCTAGTGAGCTAGTGCTCCTCTCTGCCCTGGATCTGCAACCCAGAACTGTGTATGGCCAATGCAACAGGGTTCTGCACCCAGTAGCAGCACAGATCCCCTGTAATTTCCTTCTGACCAGTTGTCTGACTCCCTTGCCATCTGTGGGTTAAGAGCTCACAAAACTGCTGCCACCACTGATTCAACTGCCTCCCAATGCCTACACTGTGTGGTCTGCACTGGGCTCCAGGTCTGACCACCAACCCAGTGAGACAGACCTTCCTTGTTGACCAAATTATTTCACCCCGACCTTTTGTTGATTTTGACACTCCAGAATTCAATTTGAGGTGTTATTTTCAAAGTTGCTTGAAAGGGAATTTGGGAGAGCTCAGGTGAGTCCCTTCCTTTACCCTGCACTCTTGGCTCTGCTCCCCAAAACACATTATTCTTATCTGTGAATGTCACAAAAACTGGCCATGTCAAGGAATCGGAAATTGAGGGAATGACCATCAATTAATGAATGGCGGAAAAATTGTGGTATATGAATGTAATGGAATGCTGTGGTGCCATAACAAATGATGAGCAGGATGATTTCAGAAAAATCTGAAGACTTACATGAACTGATGCTGAGTGAAGTGAGCAGAACCAGGAAAACATAAGTAACAGCAACATTATACAATGATCAACTATGACTGACTTGGCTCTTGCAGCAATACAATGATTCAAGACAATTCCAAAAGACTCATGATGGAAAATGATATCCACATCCAGAGAAAGAACAATGCAGTCTGAATACAGATTGAAGCATACTATTTTCACTTTCTTTGGGGTTTTTTTCAAGGTTTTCTCCTTTTTTTCTGTTTCTTCTTTCACAACATAACCATTGTGGAAATATGGTTAACATAACTGCACATGCATAACCTATATCAGTTTGCTTGTTGTCTTGGGGGGGGAGGGGGGAAGGGAGGAAGGGAGAAAATTTTGGAGCTCAAAATCAATACTGAAAACTATTTTTACATGTAATTATTTAAAAAAATACTATTTATGCACACAATAAAACTGGTGATGTGTTAAGGCATAAAAATCTAATAAATTCATAAAGCAAAAATATTAAATATTTTCCATATGACAATAAAATTAACAATAAACGGCTTGAAGAAAGCATTCAAGCTTAAAGAGACTAAATAATTTAACACTAAAGAATTAGTAAGTCAAAGAATAAATCATAAAGTTATCAGACAATTTCATTAAATAAAATGACAACAAAGAGACAACATATTAAAACTTGTCAGAAGCAGGAACGCAGTCCTTAAGGGAAAATTTATATCTTTAAACACTTTCATCAACAAATGAGAGAACGGAGGAGGAGGAGGAGGGCGCTTGGGGAGACCGAGGGGGCGGAGCCTTGGCTTGCCCGAGCTGGTCAGGAGGAGGGGGCGAGGAGGTGAGGTATTGGGGGTTGGCGATCCAGAGCGAGGAGGGAGCAACAGCTGCACCATAACAATTTACAAACAATCCCCAACTGCAAAGGAGAAGCCTGTTCTCCTCCTCCTCCTCTGCAGCCACAGCAGCCTCCACAGCAGCAGCAGCAGGAGTTCCAGCAGCAGCTCCAATAGCTCCTCCTCCTCCTCCTCCTCCTCTTTCTCCACTATCTTCGTCTCCTCCTCCTCCTTCTCCTCCTCCTGCCCCCGGCCCCCGAGCCCCGCTGCCCCCAGGCAGTAGTTACGCGTGGAGGATTAGGGGGCGCACTTCTCCCTGCTCCATGCACCCCCTCACACTCCTCCCCAGGCGTCCCTCACCTCCTCAGCCCAGCCCACCTTTGCCCTCCTCCCGCCTGAGGTATTAGAAATTCATTATCAACCTTGCTGGGATTGACTCCTTCCAGCTCAACTGGATCATTCAAATTACATGAAGATGTAAATAGAACTAATTTTTATGCTGATTTGATACACAACAAGTCTGAAACAGTCTTAGGAATCTTTATACATTGTTTATGGAGATGACTTCACCTACTTCAGTGATTCCTCTACCTTACAAAAATAAGCATAAAATTAATTGTGGACATCTGTAACATTTGCCATAACACTGACACCTACTTTAGGTTATACATCATAAAAGTATCCTTATTATAACCCCAGAAATTCTCTGAGGGAATTTTGACATTATTCCTCTTAAATATATCTGAAAGGTGGCAGAAACACACCAACTCAACCTCTCTTAGCCTATATTGATGGGCCAGATGTTATAGCCAGCACAGTTGATTCCCATATGGAAATTAATGATGCATCAATATCAATAAAAAGGACCAACACAATTTCTTACAAAAACCTTCAGGATAAATTTTTAATACAAGCAGAAGGACGTATGCCTTTGGACTGTATGTTTTGTGAACAGACTTTTAAACATCCAGAAGATCTTAACATCCACCCACACTTTGTGAACCAGCAGTTCTCTGTGTTGAAGCAGAGTTATCTTAGTCCTCTTGACAAAAGTCAAGTGAGAACAGAGTCTCTGAAGGAGACTGGCAAAGAAAATGAAGAATTTAGTTGTGAAGTCTGTGGGCAAACATTTGGTGGAGTCTTTGATGTTGAGACCCACGTGAAAAAACATAAGGACTTTTTCACTTACTGGTGTACGTGGAAGAAGATTCAAAGAACCTTGGTTCCTTACAAATCATATGAGGACACACATTGGCAAACCTGGGTCCAGAAACAAACTACAGCAAGGCTTAGATAGTCCAATAACAATAAATGAGGTTGTACAGGAGCAAGTAGCTGAAACTGTCACATCACCTTACAAAATCTGCATGGTTTGTGGCTTCCTATTTCCAAATAAAGAAAGCCTAATTGAGCACACCAGAGTCTATTTCTGCTAGTGAAACAAACTGTTGACTCTAGTGAAGGAGGAATGTCATCTCAGAGGAAAGAATTTCTTCAATTTCTAAACTTGAGACCAAACCCAACACCTGAAAAAATTAAGAAACCTGCAAAATGGATCGCTGAGTTGGATCCATTTAATACATATCAAGCATGGCAGTTGGCTACCAAAGGCAAAGTTACTATTGGCCGTGGAGAACTGAAAGAACCTGGACAAGAAGGAAGTACAGACAATGATGATTCATGTTCAGATAAAGAAGAACTTGGAGAGATTTGGAATGCCAATAAAAGCCATACTGAAAGTACTGGGAAGTCCAAAACAAATAAAAACAGTTGTGCAGGAATTGGCCTTTCACAAGACAAAGAAAAGATTAAACACACCAGTGGTGAAGTGCCTTCAATGGATGGGGATCCCAAATTAACACATAATAAAGAGAAACCAACACATTGCTCTGAGTGTGGCAAGGTTTTTAGAACATACCATCACCTAGTTCTTCATTCAAGAGTTCATAAAAGAGAAAGGGGAACTGATGCTGAATCTCCAACTTCTATTGAGAGAAGGCAACACAGAACATATTCTCCAGATTCAGCCACAGCTCTAGATGAAAATGGAACAATGGATCGAGTGGAAGGTGGTTCTGAAGATGGATCAGAAGATGGACTTTCTGAAGTGCTTCATTTAGATAAAAATGAAGATGGCTTGGAAAGAGGAAAAATTAAACATCTTGCTTCATCCGGAGAGTGTAGCTATTGTGGAAAGTACTTCCGTTCAAATTATTACCTCAATATTCATCTCAGAACTCAACAGGCGAAAAACCGTACAAATGTGAATTTTGTGAATATGCTGCAGCTCAGAAAACCTCTCTGAGGTATCATTTAGAGAGATATCACAAGGACAAGCAAATTGATATTACCACTGAAGTAAAGAATGATGGCAAAAACTCACTACTGAGTCGGGAAACTGAAGATATGCTATTAACAACTGATGGTGCTCAAACCAAAAATTTGAAAAGGTTTTTTGATGGTACCAAAGATACTAAAGGCTGTACAGCTGCAAAACAACATAAAGAAATGCCTTCTGCCTTTCCAAATGTTTTGGGAAGTGTACATTCAAACATAAATAAGGATATTCAGGATTCCAGTAAAAATACAGTTGACGACAGTGCTAATAAAATGAATAAAAATGTAGTCACTCCGTACTTGGACAAATTAAAAAAGAAATCAGTAATTGAGCCTCAGGCAAACAACCCTGTTTGTAAAACAGAGAAGGATGGTCTTTCTGGCAGAGGAGATACTGCAAACCATGGAAGTGAAGTAAATAACATAGATGAAATAAAAGAGAGTATTCCTAACTGCAAACATAAACCAAACATGGACTCTGAGGAAAAGCCTTTGAATTTATCCATTGGGTCTGCCCAAGAACGTGCAGCTGTTTCTGTCAGCAAAGGCTTATTAGCAACAAGCACCTGCCCATTTTGTACTTACAGAACATTTTACCCAGAAGTTCTAATGATGCATCAGAGATTAATGCACAAATACAATCCTGACATTCATAAAAATGGTAGAAATAAGTCTTCAGTTAAAAGTAGGCGTACTGGATGCCCACCAGCTTTACTTGGAAAGGATATGCCTCCCTTATCTACCTATTCACATAAATCTAAGATTTCTCTAGCAACTCAGTCAAAGTCACCGCAGCCAGAGAAAGCTAAGCAGTGCCTACCCTTGCTGAGCAAAGTTCCACTTTCTTCAGGAATAGACTCTAGCACTTTAGCCCCAAGTAACCTGAAGTCTCACAGACCACAACAAAATATTGGAGCTCAAACAGGTGTGATTGGACAGCAGTCGGAGATGCATTCTAAAACCAGTGCTTCTCCAGTACCTGACAGAATAAAAAGACCAGAAACAAAATTAAAATCTCTGAGCATATCTTCTCAACCTGGCATAGTAGGCAATAATGTCAATGGTTCCTCTGACTATCCTCTTAAAAGTGACTCTCCATGGTCTAGTAATCAAGGAAGAGAATATTTTTGCAGTCAAAATGTAGACACTGTCAATGTGGAATTTGGTGAACCATCTTTGAAAAGAATGAAATCTAATGTAGTTACTCTTGAACTTGAATCTGCAACAGGAGCCAATTAGAGAAGAGAATATAATATAAACAGATACCATGTTCCAAACAGAATTGCAAACCTATTACCTCAGGATTGTCCCTGTCCACCTGTGTCATTGTTACCAATCAAGCAAGGGCTCCTGAATTCAAATGAAGCTGATTCTCCAAATGTACTGAATGTCCTAAAGTCGTATGAGCCATATGGTCCTGGACCACTTTATAGTTCTTGTGGATCTAGTGGTAGTCAAGCATCAAGCTCTGCAGTAGAAGGAAAAAGGCCCATATCTTGTCAACAATTATCTAACAGCATGCTGCAAAAAAGAAACTATGAGAATCTTATTACTAATACACATTATCGACCGAATGACAAGAAAACTTGATTTTTTGGGGGGAAAAAGGTCTCATAAGGACATAATTACATATTCTCTATGGAATTACCTTCAACTCATCCTTTGAGAAAATGAATGGTGAAAGCTACTGAAATAAGCTGTGTACTGTACATATAAAGAACACTACAGTTTTATAATGTTGGTTCTGTTTAAAATTTGTATCAAATAGCAATAAAAATTGTAGTTGGAAAAGTTGGGTTGTAAAAGTGGAGAATGTATATCTCTATTTTGACCTTGAATAATATTTTTTTTAGAATTGACCACATATTAAGTAGTTTTTTGAATACTTGAGTGCTGCTGAAAAGTAATTGGGGGAGGGAGGGGAAAAAAAAGAGAGAACAAACAAATCCAGAAACCGGATATCTAAAAAAAAAAAACCCAAAACTTGGAAAAGTAATAGAGCAAAACACCAACTAAACAGCAAAAAAAAATTAATGACATTAACAAAACTGGAAAACTATTTTTGTAAATTGGCAATAAAACTAGGAGCTATTTTAAAAGAACTAGCAAAAGACAAATCTGATAAAGAAAAGAAAACCAAACTATCAATATCAAAACCAAAAAATGAAAATTCGCAAGAGGAAATACAATAATTACAAGCTATTCTGCCTACGATATGCTCTCCAACACAGACAATTTAAATGAAAAATATTTACAAAAATACAGATGGCCCAAAACAACAGAAAAAGAAATAAGGAGTTTTAAATAATTCCATCTCAGAAAAAGAAACTGAACAAGCCATAACAGAACTGTCAGAGGTAAGGGGATGGGGGCAGGATGTATACAGGACTAGGTGGATTTACAATCAAATCCTATTAAAGATTTAAAGAACAATTAATTCCAATATTTTATAAATTGTTTACAAAAATTGGGGAAGGGATCCTACCAAATTCGTTCTGAGACAAATACAGTCCTGATACCCAAACAAGAGGGAAATAAAGCAGAGAAAGAAAACTATAACACTGATAACCCTAATGAATTTCAATGCCAAAATGCTGTATAAAATACTAACAAAGAGGTTACAAAAACATTAAAAAGAATATATGTTACAATGCATTTATGTTAGCAATGCATAACTGGCTCAATATTAGGAAACTATAAACAAAATATATTAACAAAACAGTAAAAATCATCAAGAAACAAAAAAGCTTGACAAAATACACCTTTGTGTTTGAAAATATCTAAAAGCATCAGAATAAATGGGTCATTCCTTAATTTGTTAAACAGAGATTATATAAACCAAGAGCTAGTGTTATCTATAATGGAAAAATTCTGAAGGCCTTTCAAATAATATAACAAGTAGACTAAGGATATCCACTGTCATCATTATTGACATAGACGTACTTGGTATAGCAAAAAGACAAGAAAAATAAACTGAGAAAACAAAATTAGCACTTTTTGAAGATGACAATGAAAAATTCAAGCTTAGAAAAACCTATACAAAAAGGCAAAACACTAAATTTAACAAAGTAACAGGATATGAGATAAATCCCATAAAAATATTGGCCTTTCTGTATATTAGCAGCAAAACTGCAAGGAGAAAGAACTTTCATCCAAGATAATTACAGAATATATACAATATATGGGAGGCAAACTACCAAGAAACACACAAGAATTATATGAATACACTATAAAACCTTTATAGTAATGACAATCCTAAACAATTGGACAAATATTAGTCATGGTTGTGTCATAGCAATATAATATTACAATGCTTAACTAAATTAATTTACAGATTCAATGCCATACCAAGCTACTAAAGGGTATAAAACTAGAGGGGGAAAAATTCAACTGGTAGGGAAAAAAATGGCAATTATTTCAAGGGACATAATGAAAAACAGTGGGAAGGGACCCAACAAGTTGAGACCTCAAAATATGCTACCATGCAGCAAACACCAAAATTACTTGGCATTGCTTAAAAAACAGAAAGATTTGATTAGCAGAACAAATTAAGTTCACAAGACTGAAGCAAACGACCTCATAGTAACACCGTCAGTATTCTATAAACCAATGAATTACAAAGAAAGAATAATTTTAAGAATAAGTTACCAAATTTGGATTTAAGTATTTCTACCAGGAGCTAGACTCTTTCTAAGAATACTGTAGGACTTTAGTAGAAGTCCTGATGATTTCTGAAGCCAGAGTCAACACTGGTCCTTGTACTTGGCATAGTGCCTGGCATTTTATGCTAATATAAATGTTTGTTGATTGACTGATTGTGTAGAGGACTTAACAACAAAGCTGTAACCTCAAATAACACAGTCTAAGTACATTAGGGTTGAGGAATTCCCAGCTCTCTCAGTCCTAGAAAATAGCTAAAGCAATAACATTTCTTCTCCAGCCCTTCCATTAAGTTCAGTTCCTCAGAATCACTTCATGTTTCTCTGGCTTCCTTTATTTATGTTAGACTTGCCCTTAAACTTCCTCAGGGTAAAACAGGTCATCTATTTCACAACAGGTCTCACAGTTCATTTGATATGTCACCTGAAATGTATGACTTACAGAGAAGCGAGAAGCCTATTACAAAACCCCTTTTGTAGTGGGAGTAGGATTTCCCAAAGTCAAGCATTTAACAGGTGAAAATATTTAAGTAGTAGAAAGTTATTTCCTGAAAGTACTATATACTTCTCTAACTTAAATTTGAAAAAAAAAATGAACATGACAGAGAAGAGAAATGAATAAACAGACATCTTTGATGACAACAAAGTAAATCTGACTTAGCCGAGCATAAAACTGCACACTACTCCGGTGATGTCAGCAGCCCTAATTAGAACTTCCATTCATATTGTAAAATGCAGTAAACATATGAAGACAACACATTTCTGAAGAGATAAGATTTATATACACTTTCCAAGAAATGAGTCTTTCAAGGGTATTTTCCCAAAATGAAAGTGATTTTTTTTAAGTTTACAGCAGTCACATTCATTTAAAAAAAAAAAACCTATCATTTAGACAATGGTGTATTATTGTACTAACAATCATCTTTCTCACCTCCCCCTACTCTTTTGCAGAAGTAAGTGGTTCAAGTGTGGAACACTGCATATATTTTCAGAGCCTCTTGATGTATTTTTTTTCTGCTGATCTGCCTTTTCTTAAAAAAAATTTCTTTTTGATACGGAATGGCTCTCTTAGAAGGGGGGAAAGTTACAGAGGTTACTTAAGTAAAAACAAAAAATATCAATTAATATTTTATAAAATACAGCTTTATAAGGCTGCTAGTTGAGATACCCTGTCTGGAAGCTCTAGTAGGCACATGCAGCAATAAACTTGACTTAAAGAATGTGCATTATGTACTGAAGAAAGTCAGTTTTGATCAAGCTACCTAGCATCCTAAAGGAAGAACACTGAATGTTAACGCTCTTTCAAATGTCTTTGCTAGTGGTAATGAACTTGTATTGATTGTCACTATATCCAGTGGTTACACAAAAGGGTTCTGTTATAGGCCTTTTCTGATCTCAATTCTCAGGGTTCAATTATGTTTATCTATGACTACCCACTTACCTACATCTAACTCTCTTCTCTCATTTAATCTCCATTCCAGTATCACCCAATGACTGCTAGATACCTGAGATGTGGATCATTATTTTTCCTCCCAATATCAATCATCCTCCTAATCACCCAAGTTTATAACCTTTGGTTTTTGACTCTGCCTCACCCTTCTTATCCAATCAATTTCCAAGACATGTCAATTCTACCTTCACAATCTCTTGCATCCCTCCTGGTTCTCTCCTAGCACATGGTCACCATCCTAGTTTAAGTGTTCCTCGCTTATCCCATGAACTATTGCAATGATTTCACAGTAGTCCCTCTCATATATTCTATGCCAAACTGGTCTATTTGCTGGTCGCCATAATAGAATATTGCCGCCTCTCTCTATGCTGTTGCAGAGTAGAATAGGATCCCACCCTCACCTCTGCCCTTGAAACTCCTAATTCCACCTTCAAAGTTCAACTCAAATGCTACCTCCTAAATGAGGCCTTTCTTGATCCCCCCAATTGTTAGTGACGTTCCCACACCTAAAATCACTTTTCTAATTATTTCAGACTTATTTGTGTACATGTTGTTGCCCTCCCAGTAGAACGTAATCTCTTCATTTTTCTCTTTGTTCTCCCAGCACTGAGCACAGCCCCTGGCACATAGTAGACACATACTTGTTGAAGTGAAAATGGTTGACTAGGGGTGAGGCATTGAGGTGGGGGAAAGCTTCAGGTTCAGCCTCTAACCATATAACAGTAAGAAAAGAATTAAGGTGGAGAAATCTATAACAATGACTTCAATAATGCCATCCCTTAGCCAACTGTCTAAATGTCTAAATTTCAAACCATAAACTGAAATTATAATTAAATATGCAACTTAAATAACTGAGGCAGAAAATTATAGTTACTATACTTCTGATTAAGTATTCCATCAGCCATTACAAAAAATAAATGCTCTTTTCATCATAAAAATGTTACTTAGTAAAAAAAAAAGTTCAGTCAAAGCAACAAAAAGATTCAATTAGTTGGATAATGAATGTAGTTCTTACCTGTAAAAACAAAATTTTATGTGGTAAATCACTATTGTGCAAAATATCAACACTTGTAATGGAGCTATCATAATACACCTGTCATGAAATAAAGACGGTCCAACAGTCAACAGCATCAAAAATAATTTCACAGAAGAGCTACTCCCTTCATGTGGCAAGATGACCTATGGATTATGGAAGTATGAATAAATGTCACAAAGTGATGATTTTTAAGAGTTTAATTTTATTAAAAATATAGCAACATAATAGCAGCATCATTGGACATAGCTTTACTAGTACCATTTAATATTGGCTCTACCCATAAATATATACCACCCATGTAGTACATCATTTCTTTAGATGTTTAAATTTTAATCTCTCTGCTTTATAACCAAGAGAATCATGTAACAAGCATTATTTGATAAAACTAAATGAGATCAAAATGTGGGATATTATTTAACTGTTCAACTGAATTGACTGTATAAGCTACACAGTAAGATCTAACCAAAAATAAACTGCTATGAAAATTAGGGAATTCTTGAGCAGATCCTTCTCTGATTTATTCCCTAGCAGTTCATTATCCACTGGCAGCCTAAAATTGGTGCAAACCAACTTCATTAGTTCTAGATTCTCCAAGTGATTTCCAAGAGTTTGAATTTACATCCAAAGCTAGAAGTAATTGTTTATGCTTTAAAGCTGCCTTAGAGCTAGCCTGGAGGGACCTAAAAACAATAAAGAATATGTTCTTCCATTTTAGTGTAAGTACCTCTGAGGTGAAATGCATGCAAGGTCATTCAAAATTTGGCAGTTTTTAATTCGAAAAATTATCAAGGTAAGGCGACATTTAAAAATCAGAATAGACCAGAAGCTAAAATTTGTCATAAAAGTATCACATCTAAGACTGCTATAAATTCATAACAAATAAAATTCTAGGGCAGAGAATTAAGAGTAAAATGAGAATAGATTTACTATGAATTAAGAAATCCAACCTAACTGAACATGGTCAAAAAGTGTAGCTGGTTTAGCGGCTTTTGCCTTAGGAATTATTTTTATTCCAGAGCAAGGGCACTTCACCAATGAAAATATTTTTTGGAAAGATAACTCACTGAGCAGTCCAGGATTGAGGGCCCATTTCTGCCCCTGAAAAGGACCTATAAGGCAGGTTGAGGCACATTTGTTGAATATGTTAGGGATATTTAGATTTCAGTTATTTATGCTGAAGGTGCCTCTCTCCAGAGTTGTCAATTCAGCACCTTTCAAAAGCATTACATTATTTTTGAAGTGTGAAGCCAATCTGATTTTAAATTTTCAAATGTTATCAGCAGATGGGTGTAAAATAAGCCACTTTGAGCTGGCTCAACAGAATATAAGAACCTACTGAATGGAAGGGCAGTATGAAATAAAACTATGGAAACATATAGGGAACATTTGACACTCAATCCTCCTACTTGAGATCCCACAGAACTAGAATCTTAAGTTAACGGTACTGAATGGTACTTAATTTATGAAAGATAAATTATTCAAATTTATGGTTTTGATTTTTAAAAGCACACCATAAAATGGCTTAGTTTCTACTACTAATTCAGCTGCTAAGAATCAATTCATACACAGAAATACCTGAATAGGATAAAAAACAAACAAAAACTTGCTATTTGATTTCCACAGAAATAATTCATCAATTTATAAGTTCCTTCATTTGAAGACTAAACCCTAGATGTGGGTCAGTGACTGTTGTTTATTCTAATCTAAAAAGATAGGTAACAGTCTGAAAAAAATATTAGATACTGATAGTTCTGGAAATGGTTAGCACCATAGAAGAAAATCTCTTAATATCAAAAAGTATCTTAGATTATTGGTTATTTTAAAATACATGTTGAAATCCAAGTCTATAATATTCCCAACAATAGCAAAGTACTTTAGCTTCTCCAAGAAATGAATTCTGTAACATGGGGGGGAAAGTAAACTATACAGAAAATATTTACTATGAAGTTAATTTGTATTAGATAAAAAAATTGTACTGGTTGAAACTAGGTACACATTTTTTTAAAGTTAAGAAACCAGTTTATTTATTAAACCAAACTAATGATGGACTAATTTGTTGCTTATCTGTTCAGTATGTAACACTGTTGAATAACAAGACTTGCCAGAATGCAAGGCATATGTATTACCTACTGTGGTCCCAGAAAAGAATGAATTGTCTGTTTAATTAAGTTAAAAGGAAACCTACAAATTAGAGAGGTATCTAATCTCAAAAAGGTTGTCTCTAAATTCTTAATTCAAAATATTCCTGTCAAATGGGAAGCAAGAGAATGAGGTGATAAAATGGAAAACCAAATCTTTAAGCAAAGTAAATTAAAATGTAATAGAGTAGTAATGCTGAAATGGAAAATACATGCTTTTTAGGACAATAATACTATCTCTGAATCTAGAAACCATTGCTGTCAATCAGACTTTCTCACATCATTTAGGAAAATTCCACATTACAATCTAATTTAACTCTCTAGAGCTCTTTGTTTAGGTTTGTAAATCATTTGCTATTCATTTTCCAATTTAAAAAAAATCAGTATCTTTGATTGTTAAGATTATTTTTAAAAGTGAATACCAAGAAAAACCAGCAGCAGCAGCAGCAGAAACCAAATTAATTTTAACTAACACAAGGTTCATTTAATTGAGATCAGAGTTCAACCAAAAAACAGAGCCTTAAACGACTGTTTTATAGACAGTCTATAAGCATGCATTTTTCAAATGAAAGGTCTCTACTAAACCAAGTAGAATTAGGGCAGGATTATACTAAAATGCTCTTCTGAAATGCATAAACAAAAACTTCCCTGTAAAACACTTGGTTTTATTAGTGAAATGGTTATTAAGAATAACAAAGATTCAAACAATGTTTGCTCTACACTACTTACATATCATAAATAAGACAGTTGTTGCAAAACACACAATCCTCTGGTCTTTCCATCCACACAAGTTACTCTTTTATGAGAATAAGCTGTTTTACCAGCCAACTGAATGTGGCTGAAGCATTAAAAATGACCATCTATACTTTACATAGTAAAGCATTTTACAAAGTTTTAATGTACACAGTGGCAAAAAACTATAATTCTGAACATGTGAAGAGTGATTAAGCAGCTTCATAATCAAACCAGGATTCGTTACTTGAAATATGGGCAACTTTCCATTCTCCACAAAACTTTACTTTCAATAGTATTAGCCATTAAAGGAAAATCAAATGAAAAGCAGGTAAGGAGCACACTATTCAGCTTTCTAAATTTACAGAAGTAACTTCCCATGAGGTAAGGCAACTGAGTAAATTTGATTGTATTATGTTGCATTAAAATAATTATACTTGATTTAGTATTAAGAGCTAATTAAAAGGTATGACTTCTTAAGGGAAAATCTAACAACGATGTAAGGAAATCTGAAAGCATGAGTTGAGCTTTTTGGAAAAAATCTTCATAAATGTCATTCTCCTACATAAGTGCTTTCTTACAAAAAGCTGACCCCAAGAATGACTAATGACTTGTAATTTAAACTCAAGTAAATTTAACCCTTTAGGGAAAAAAAATAAAAGAAAAAGCCATACATACCTTTACCCCTTTCAGGTACAGTTTTTGCACATCACATAACCAGCATTAGAGAAAATGATTGTGAGGTAATGATTAAGGCCATCCAATGTAGAGAATTAAAGGGCTTCCTTTGATTTAGGCAAAATAAGAACATGCTTCACTTTCAGCTACAAGAGTATAAAACTGATGGTCCCCAAACTGTATTTTTGCTTCATGCTATAAACCTTAAAGACCTAAACTCTTTCTTGTATTAGGTGAACTAAGAAGCTGTTCTTCCATACTACTTGCACATTTCTCTATGGGGGTGGGTGGAATAGCTATCTAGGTTCAGTATGAACTGAGAATGACTAGCACATATAAAATACTAGAAAACACTAGAAGGCACTAAAGCTTCAGCTTGTGCTCCCATAGCCTGTTTTGAAAACCAGGTTTCCTTTTGTTAAGAACACCCATGCCATTTGCAGCTGACTAGACACAAAAATAAATTTCAAAATATTAACAAAGGTTAAAAGATATGCTCACTTTGGGAGGAAAAAAAATTAAGCATATTAGTATTCAACATGGTTGCTTTTCCTTTTTTGGAATGGAACAGTTAGCATGCACCACTAAACTACTTTTTTAAAAATCCACACATTTAAGCAATTTTAATCTGAAAAAATATTTTAGATAAAGAACTGGTATCCCAAAATGTGAGCAAATGAAAACCTATTAGTAGGCATTTAACACAATCACTGTAAAACCGTGAAGTAATGTCTTATTTCATTTACAGGGGTGTAGTTATATATTTTGCACCATTTTCAAGCACATCATCAAACAATATATATTGAAATTAAAACAAAAAAGCAAAATACAAAATTCAATAACTAGCAGTATTTGAACAGCCTCCAATGCATTATCTTCCACTTTTCTGAGCACTGCAGATTCAGATCTTTGTAATGGTCCTTGGCAAACACTTAACAAATCATTTCAAAAGTAGGTCAGCCATCATGGAAATGCATGGATTTTAGATGAGTCAGTTTGGGTAACATCCCTTGTTTTCATAATGTCCATGCTTGGTTTCCTTTCTCTGTAATAAGATGACCATAAAGTCATCTGACAACTGTAAGAGCTGTTCATACATATCGATATTCGACTGGACTGTTGGCTTCTTAATGAGAGAATTAAAAGCTTTGGATTCCACTCTACAACTGAGTTTAGTGGTACACATCTATTGGCCCTATACCATTTCTGCCTTGGCAGTAAGGTTTTCTTCATTTGGTTGGCAATTCCCATTTTGCTGTACTTTGTTTTCATCAGTCTTTGGAGCTTCTTTGTCATCGTCTATTTTTTCACTCCCTATATCCGGTACTTCCTTAGTGTGTTCTTTCTCCTAGAATGTTAAAGGCACACACATGTATTTTCAAGATTATCTATTTTTATCATTTTAACACATACATTAAGTTTTCACAAATTAATTAAAAATAGATTTTTCAACCAACTTTAAAAAATTATAACACATTTTTAAAGTTGCTGGACAAACAAATCAAGCAGTAGGGAGAAATGCTTAATGCTGAAATACAAAAACTCAGTGCGTGCTGCTGATTGACTGGAAGAGCAGAGTAAGCCAGTTTTCAACTGCTTCAAGGAATCCAGAGAAAATTTGCAATCCAGAAACCAAAAGAAAGAAAACTAATATATTGGGAAAGGGAACTAGTATTTTTCTTGATGAAGCCTGCTCTGGGCAAAAGAGGAGAGGAGAGAGAAAAATGAAAAATAAGGAACAGGATATTGTAAAATTGGCTTTTATCCAGAACTACTGCAAGCATTTTGGTTTCCTACCTATATATTAGCATGAACCTATGAGTTAAAAAAACTTTATCACTGACATGATTTTAAAATACAATCATATTTTACCTTACACACCTTGGAAAAGCTTAGTCAATTGGCAGAATACAGCCTAACATTTAACAACATTTTTAATTCAACTAACTGGATTTTTATTTTATATTACTAAATCAATTATGTCCTGCTTTTTCATCAGAATGACTACTAAGTTTACTGAAGCAAATACATTTTTTAAACAGAACTGAGAAAAAATAACACAGACCCAAGATCAGAAATTTTTTCTCACTTGTATGTACTCCAAAAATGTTTTATTTCTGTATCTACTATCTTCTCAAAATGAGGCAGCTAGGTGGCTCAGTTGATAGAGAGACAGGCCTGGAGTCAGGAAGACCAACGTTTTAATTTGGCCTCAGACACTTATTAGCTATGTGACCTTGGGCAAGTCACTTAACCCTGTTTGCCTCAGTAAAATCCTCATCTGTGAAATGAGCTGGGGAAGGAAATAACAAACCACTCCAGTAACTTTGCCAAGAAAACCCAAAAAGGAGTCATGAAGAGTTAGATACTACTGAAAACAAATAAACAACAACCTTTTTAAAATACAGTTTGCAAATTTCACTTCAGTTGTCATTCAACAAACTACAGCGTACAAAGTTCATTTTAATCTGCTCCCTTCAAAAGTCTATTTTAAAACTGACAAGAACACATTTTTGTAGACTAAGTCATAAAGACATTACTGGCCACCATTAATTTAACTCTAAATATTGGATGACTATGTTTACCTTCAGTGTACTTGTGTTCTTTTCCAATTTGTCTTTTACATCTTTGTCTTTAAAGCTCTTTTTCTTAGATGTTGAACGTTCTCTGTCTTTTCTTTCTATGTTTTGGTCCTTTTCTTTTTCCTTCTTTTTATCCTTCTTATTTCTGCTTAAGAACATTGATCAAAAGCATTAATTTCTAAGAAAGCTGAAATGACATTTTTTGTCACACTATTCTTACTCAGTAGGCTCAAATACTAACACAAAAATGCCATCAAATAATATCAATTGCTCCTATGTGGTCATTATTTTTTTAAAACCATTCTGAAATGTCTTACTTTCTGCAGATTATACATTCAGTATTTAAACCAAAGTGATTTTATTATTAATTTTAGTAGGTCTAAAAAATAAGATAATCACTTTTCTAGATTTGTGATAGAGGAATACTCAAGTATTTTTTGTTTCTCTGGGGGGACAAAAATGCTGAGATAAGAGAGGAACAATACTACAGTATCAGGCAGAAGCTATGAAAGCAGCTTTCAGGACTCAAGCACTAGCATCATAATCTTGAAATTACAAAAAAGAGCAAGCCCAAAAGCCACCTCCCTCACCTTCACTTAATGAAAAACCTAATCATTATAATCACAAGAGGACAAATTAATAATAATGGGAAAAAATTAAAAACTAAACTACTTGTAGGAGGTCCTTAACATAATCATATGCTTCAGAAACACTGTTCCTTTTCTAAATGATTTGTTAAAACTTTTTTTTTAATTAATATCCTGTTTTTCTTTAGAAATAATATTTTAGAGATGATATCCTGATTTTCATAGCTTAATTCATACAGCATATAATTAATAAATCTAAGTAAAATAACGGGAAAAATAAGAAACAGAAGCTCAAAAGAGAAATCCATCTATTTGAGAATGCTCTTTGTGAGTTAAGTACAAGTACAAACCCAAGAAATAAACAAATATTTCCTTACCAAACAGCAAAAAAAAACAACAGCAAAAAAACACAAGAGTGGATTCAAACTGAGGGTGGAAGAAACATCCAGAAGTGACAACTGTTAAAATTAAATGATATCAATAAAACTTATTTTTTTAACCCAATTAAATCTACAGATTTGCCCCTTACAAGTCTAAGTACATATGCTATTACATAAACTTACCTCCGGGGTGATGGAGACCGAGAAGACTTTCTTTTTAGTGTTTTTGATGTTTTTGGTGATTTAGAAGGACTTCTGCTCTTTCTCCTACGTCTTTCTCTGAAAATTCCAAGATTTGGGTATTTTAAAACTAGAAATAACAAACACCATTTAAAATGCCAAATAAAAAAAACTTTATCTGAGAATGTTATATGGTCTCTAATTTGCTACATATATAATAAATAAAACAGATTTATGCCACAATTAGAACAAGGGAAATAAGGAAATCAAACTTCTATAGGGTTATGTTAAGAGAAGAAAAATTACCTGTTTTTCTTGGTCTCTATTTTTGCTACTAAAGTAAGGAAAAATAACAGCAACTATTTTGGATTCTCTCATAATAATTTCTGGTCAAGAAAGTGTTACTATTAAATCATCTCTCAAACATACTTTTAGCTTCTTGCTGCCCCTACTTTAGCTTCTTGTGGAATAGTAACTTGTAAGAGTCAAGGTAAGCTTTAATGAACTTTTTAAGCTGATTGGAAAAAAAATTACAAGTTACACTTGAAAATTTTTCTTAACCAGAAGAATAAAAGATCCATTTCTTTTTTGCTTGTTTTCCAGAAAAACTTCCCCTTTTCACCCAAAGAGATATATCTGACCCTCTTTATCCCTCCTTACATTATTCTAGTGATAATCTAAAATTCATTATTATTAGTGGCATAGCTGTTATTAAAACACACTCAAATCTTAATTTTGAACTGTGACACAAACTCACAACAACATTTTGGAGTAACAATGTGTATTACTGTTTTAAAAACCAACAAATATGGAGCACCAAGGTGGCGCAGTGGATAGAGCACCGGCCCTGGAGTAAGGAGAACCTGAGTTCAAATCTGGCCTCAGACACTTAACACTTACTACCTGTGTGACCTTGGGCAAGTCACTTACCTTCACTGTTAGCCCCCTCCCCCCAAAAAAATCAACAAATAATAGCATGATGAAGACCTTCAAAACTAAAGCAAAAAGAGTTCACAACAATTTTAACAGGATTACACAAATAAAAAAAAATTACACAATCTAAACTTGAACTTCAGGTGTTATTCAATTAGGGTAGCAGTGAACTTCTGAATACTTATGAAATTGTAGAATACATCTTAAGACGGATTCTAAAAAACATTTTAAAAGTCTGAAAGATTCACACACAAAAGTAGAACTCAAATGACAAATCTGAACAGTAGCTTTTGACCTAAGCTTCTCCAAAATTAGCAAAAAATTCTTTCATTTACAAATAACAGGAATAAAATATAACAATCAAATACTCTAAGAATGTTAAATCACACAAATAATTTCAAAACATGAGGACTTCAAATTTATTGTGACACAGAACTTCTAATTTCACTGCAGACTCTATTCTCTTTAGCTATTTTTAAAAAGCTCTTCTAATACCACACACTTTCTCTTTGAAGTTTTCCCTTGGTGAAAATGAAACGAAAATTTTTGCCCAAACCCAATGTCATTCTCAGCATAGAAGCATGGGTGCTATTTTAATAGCATGAATATTCATGAAATGTCACTGCACATCCAAATTTTAAATTTATTTTCTAGTTCTGTTTTTCTTAGATCAGTAGGAAGTACACTAGTCCATAGAACAAGAAACATATTTGTTACAGTTACATATACATATGTGGAATCATGCACATAGGGATGAATAAATATTTGTTTATGGCAGTAAACAAAATTATTTATACTCAATGGAGTTGATAAGTGTTATAGCTATCAATTACACTTCCTCTACTGCATCATTAATGTCAGTAAATTACATATCAAATAATTTATAGGACAACAGAAGACGTCCAATGGCAATCTAATCAATTAGTAAATTGAGTAAGATTTGAAGAAAATGTTACAGTCAAAAATATTTTAAAAATAATTTTAAGAGCTTAAAAGTTTTCCTGTACACTAAATAAATCAGGGCATTAGGGAAGTGAAATATCACTGAAAGACAGTAAGAAACTGAAGATTTTTATAAGTTCTTCAAAACTATGTATGAGACAAAAAGAAATCGAAAATTCAAAAGTATTAAGCCATCAAGAACATCAGTCCTTGGCTAATATTTTGTTATTAGTCCTAGTAGTTTTCTGAGACCTGAGAGTCCTAAATAACATTTTATCCAAAAATGGATAAAAAACATCCCTGCCACCCTTGAGAAACTTAAAATCTGATAAATAAGGGCAACACAAAACTAAACCAAGCTCACAACTTAATTATTTTTACACCTTCTCCAATGTCTAATCGACAAAGGAAGAAAAGAGAAGAGCTCAGAAGGAAAAAAAGATAATATATTCATTTGGTTAGTAGGAACAGGCAAGGATACAAAAATCATGAAAGGTTTCATAAAATAGGTGGTCTATTTATCCTTGGCCCCGAAAGCTAGTCAGAATTTCAAAAGAGACAGAAGGGGCAGTGAGAAGAAAATACTGTAGTCACGGGGCAGCTAGATGGCATGGTGGACAGAGCACCGGCCCTGGATTCAGGAGGACCTGAGTTCAAATCCGGCCTCAGACATATAACACTTACTAGCTGTGTGACCCTGGACAAGTCACTTAACCCCACTGCCTAGCCAAAAAAAAAAAAAAGCAAAAAACGAGAATACTCTAGTCAGAACATGAAAAGGGCAAAGAGTCAGAAAAATACAAGACATTGTTTAAAAAACACTTTCAGATGGATGCCAGAATAATATAGTAAGCACTAGGAACTAAGGCTGGAAAGCAGGTGGGAGCCAAAGAATAGAGAAGCTTCAACATTAAGCTAAGGAACTTTAAACTGATTATGTAGGCAATGAAGACTGAACATAGCAGTGAAATAAGAGTTTTGCTTTATGAAGATCAAACTTCCTCAAAATTAAGACTATCTTATGATATATTTGGAATGATGAGAAATTAAGAGTTGAGACTAGATGCAAGACAACAGAGCGAAAGAGACTTAAAAAGAGTAGTGAGTAGGGCTAGGATTTTTGAGGTACTCTTTAGAATTAGAACCAGCAGGGCTTCATAATTGATGGTTTATTGAAAAACAAGGAAGTCAAAGATGCTTCAAAAGTTTTGAGTCCAATGACTGAAAATTGATGGTATAAACAAAAATGACATCAGAAAAATATGGGTTTTAGAATATGGAAGATAAGTTTAAGATTTGAGTTGTCACAGGGATATATCCCCATAGAACTACCCACTGGACACTTAGAAATGCAAGACTAGTTCTCAGGAGACATTTGAACTGAACACATAAGGATGACTGAGGAGTTATCTATATAGAAAGCATACGTGGGAGGTGTGTAAGGCTGCTGGAGAGAAGAGAATGAAACCAGCACACTGTTAGGAACAGGACCTTGAGTAATTCTTACATTTCTAGGGAGAAGAAAAAGTAAACAAAAAACCAAAGTAAACAAAGAAAAAAGAATGAGGATTAAGCAGTATCACAGAACACAAAGAAAAAAAGAGTATTTCAAAAAGAAAGCAATTAACAATGACAAGCGAAGCAGGAGAACTGGAAAGAGACCATTATGCTTCCCCCTCCCAATTTTATTTAATATTTTATTTTTTCCCAATTACATATTAAAACAATATTAACATTCCTTTTTTTGAGTTCCAAATTTTCTCCCTCCCCTTCTCCACACCTCATTGAGAAGGCAATTTGACATGAGTTATATACGTGCAGTAATGCAAAACATATTTCCATTTAAGTCATTTTGTGAAAGAAAACACAGACAAAAAGAAAAAGAAAGAAAGTAAAGAAAAAGTATCTTTGATCTGCATTCAGGCTTTCCCAGTTTCATCTCTAGAGATGGACAGCACCTTCCATCATAAGTCCTACAGAACTATCTTAGATCACTGTATTGGTGAGAATAACTAATTTATTCATAGTAGATCATCATACAATATTGCTTTTACTGCGTACAATGATATCCTGGTTCTGTTCATTTCACTTTGCATCAGTTCATGTAAGTCTTTCCAGGTTTTTCTGAGAGCATCTTGCTCGTCATTTCCTTTTTTTTTTTTCTTAACGCAATTGGGATTAAGTGACTTGCCCAGGGTCACACAGTTAGTAAGTTTGAACTCAGGTCCTCCTGACTTCAGGGCCGGTGCTCTATCCACTGTGCCACCTAGCTGCCCTCATCATTTCTTATAGCACAATATTCCATCACAATCATATACAAAAACTTGTACAGCCATTCCTCAATTAATGGACAACCCTTCGATTTCTAATTCTTTGCCACCACTAAAAGAGCTACTATAAATATTTTTGTATACATAGGGTCCTTTTTCTTTGTTTTTTATCTGTTTGGGATAGACCTAGTAGTGGTATCACTGGGTCAAAGCATAAGCATAGTTTCACAGCTCTTTGGGCATAGTTCCAAGTTGCTCTCCAAAATAGCTGAATCAGTATACAACTTCACCAATAGTACATTGGTGTTTTAATTTTCCCACATCCCCTTCAACATGTCATTTTCCTTTTCTGTTCTATTAGCCAATCTGACAGATGTGAAATAGTAGCTCAGAGTTGCTTTAATTTGCATTTCTCTCATCAATAGCTATTTAGAACACTTTTTCCATATGATTACAGATAGCTTTACCTTAGCTGAAAACTGCCTGTTCATATCCTTTGACCATTTATCAACTGAGGATTGTCTCTTATTTCTATAAATTTGACTCCGTTTTTTATGTTTGAGAAATGAAGTCTTGATCAAAGAAACTCACTGTAAAAATTTTTTTTCACAGTAATGATTACCAACTATGTATTTCCCTCCATCCTATTTTCCGTTTCTCCTACTCTCTCTCCTTTTACTTTATCCACTCTCAAGTGTTTTGCTGCTGACATTTACCTCCCTCAAAGTGCCCTCCCTTCTATCAGCTCCCCCTGCACTTTCTCTTATTCCCTTCTCTTGCTACTTTCCTGTATCACAAGATAGCTTTCTATACCTAAGTGAATATGTATATTATTTCTTCTCTAAGTCATTTCCAACGAGAGTAAGGTGCATGTGCTTCACTTCCCTGCCTTCCCCACTTTTCCCTTCACTGTAAAATCTTTCAGCCTCTTTCATGTCAGATAATTTATCCTAT